CTTGGCCCTTTTCCTGTCAGTGTTTCAAACACGCGGATGTATTTATTTTTTTCTACCCTCCTGTGGTCATTGTGCCAGGCCATGCCTCACATCTCTGCTGATAATAAAACAATAAATGTCTGCTTTCCCTCATGGAACAAGCGGCTCTACTACACAAAGCTCAGTTTTGACGAGAAGAAAGTTCAGCCTGACTGCAGCTAATGAGTCAGAGTTACCAGTTTTGTATTTGATGTTGAGGCTCATAGACCAAGTCACAAGCTAGATGTGTGGTTGAAGTCCTAAACTCACACCGTCCCCCTTAAATCTCACTTAAATACAAGATTACATGAATAGCTTGATTGTATCTCTTCAGACTCTTTGATCAGTGGGGTGGTGGGTGGTCTTAACTGTACTAATACTTAACTCTGACAATAGGATTGTGGGAGGGGGTGTGTAGATCATTGTTACCCATGGGATGCCTTCAAGTAACCATGGTTGTAGACTTCCTCTGTACTTTCCATTGCTTCTGACTGTTCTAGTTTGTACCTGTTTGACGTTAAGTCGCAAGTGTTTTTAATCCTGTGGACAAAAATAAATGTCTCCTTTTGCTATTGAGTGAAATTTGGCGTGATTGAAGTTTCCAGACTGTTCTATGTGGCGATTCACTGATCTCCTGGCGCTACAAAGCTCCATGTACATAAAACCCTTTTCTTTCTGGTGCCAGGTTATACAAGTTCACAAAGTGAGACACCAGTTAGCTGTGTGAGAGTTTGTGTAAGAGGCTGGTATGAGGTTTAAATCCCTTCGACCTCCCTAGAGCAGGTATTGTTGGGGCTCCCTCACCCTCATCAGGCTTCCTGCAGGCCGGGGAGAGCTGGTTTGTTGAAAGGCGTTTCCTGGCAAGACATGAGCATTTGTTCTCATGTGACTTTTAGCAAATCAATTTGGGAAACTAAAGGATAACAATGTAGTAAGAAATCAGTTTCTTTTTTCACTTTACCGGATATTTGTTTTTGTTTGATCACCTTGTAGTTTAACTTTGTTCTGCTGGATACTTCTTGAAACATTTGTCAGTGAAGTGCTCAATACTTGTCAAAAACTTTAAATATTGCTCTCTGAAGAGTTTTCTCAGAGCTTTGAGAGAGACTGGATGAATCCTGACCTTTGGTAAACAACGTTTATTTGTATTAAATGATTTTAAAACGAATATATATTTTTACAAAATGGGCATTTTAAGCCATTCTTGCTTTAAACTAGACGCTTGTCTCAGTATTTATTTAAGTGGGTTGACATGTCTCATGTAGGAGACAACAGATTTTCCCCTGTTAGTCAAACATAGTTCAATAGTTGTTGATGACGCTCTAAAAAACATAAAGTTTATGAAATAAGTAAGTAAGTAAACTTTATTTATATAGCACCTTTTACAGGTCAGAAACCACAAAGTGCTTTACAGAATAAAAGACATAAAAACACAAGATAAAACGACATGCGTATGACATAAGATGATATAAAACCAATTAAGATAAGTCTTTGTCATCTGAACATGTAGTCTCTTTTTACCTTGAACTACCTCAGGTGGTACCAATGGTGAAGTGACCTCATAACGTGTATGCAGCACTATTTGTATTTTTATTGTATTATTTGTATTTCTGTTCACCCGTTTGCTGTTTTGGCATGAAGTTGTCTGAAGTGAAGAACATCTTGAGAGCATTTTACATGCTGACATTTAGCAGGTCACAATCCTCATTATATAACAGGTCTACATTTTATTTTAACAAAAAAAAATAGCAATTAAAAACGGTTTATGTAATTGTACACATAATTACTTTACACCTGGAACAAAAAGAACATAACTTATTAACAGCATGCTTCATTGGTTGATGAATCCCTCACATTAGTTGTAGCTTTTTATTATTAAATGCCCACACATAGCCTATAGGCCCCTTTTTTCAAGGTGCATCGATTTTGCTGTAAATACAAAGTAAGCAGTTGTTTTGTCCTTTTGGAATCTCATTAAAAGCACAGATCACTGTGGTTGAGATTGTGCCTTTAATAAATTCTTCAGCGTCGGGAAAAACAGGGCCCCAGGTCTCTACCTCATACCGAGCAGCGTCCCACCAGTTGGTCCATCATTAGAGTTGTGCGGTGCTTTAAAACTTCGTTCACTTTCTCTTTATTAGTTGTCACACAGATTTAATGAAGAGATCGAACGAACTGATGCAGTTATTCAGTAAGGAATTAGTAAAAGCGTACTTTATGGGAAAGCTTGTTTTGAAGGGGTTTAGGAGTTTTCTCAGACTGATTCCCGATTCTGAAATCTGATCAGACACGCTTCTTAACAGCCTTTTCATTCTTGTCAATCTGCTGAAGGCAAGGAGCTGTGAGGTGACGCACATTACCTCGAAGCTACATCGAAGCAGGTCCCTCTAAGTGTCAAACTTTTATTTTTATTATCAGGGTAGATTTGTGTCGAAGTCACTTGAATTGTTTTTGTTTTGTTTTTTCCTCCTCCTCGACTGCATTGTTGATTTTCTAGGAATCCTTTAGCGCATGTTTCTACTTCCAAGTATTGTTGCAGTTTAATTTAATGAATGCAAATGCCATGCCAACCCAGAGGAGACTCAGTTCTGTCCTCGAGAGTCGCACGAGAAAACCGTGCAATTGTCCGTTTTCTTTCTTTGCACCTTTTCTTTGGCAGCTGTTTGCTTCCCTCCATTGATGCTCATCACCAAACAATGACAAACTATTTAGCAGGCGTTTGAGTCATTTTTTATTTTTGTGTCTTTTGTTGTGAAAATGACTAAATGATGAAAACATTGTTCCCACGGCGGGTTGACGTGGTAAAGATGTTGATCCTATAATGATGGGTTTGCACTTTGTTTCATTATGATTGGAGGTTTTGGCTCAATTTTCTGTGCTCTTGCACAAAAATGCTTCGCCACATCCCCCACCACATCTCCCTGTAATTATATTTATGTTTAGACCTGCAGGTGTGTTATATTTGGGCCGCATCTAACCGCCGCACTGTATTTACCGTTGCTATTTCTAGATCTGAGTAAGCCTGACTTTTCTGTAGAAAGAAGTATTTGATATGATTCATCATCCACTGGGCTAATTCCTGACACATTTTCTAACTGGTGAGCCTTGGCCCACACCCTTACACTTTATCGTAACTGACCATTGTGACAAAACGACTTGACAAATGGTGCTTCAGTTTCTGTGATTTGCGCCAGAAACATAAAGCATTAAACCCTTGGCTTCTACTGAATAATAAAACAGTAGTAGGCTTGTGCAGAATCTATATAGCGCTGAGTGGACCTGCACTGCCAACCATAACACATATGGGGAGGTGAGTCGGGTATTATAACCCAACGGCATAGTCATAAAATCAAAGAGGCTCCCACTGCCAGCGTTCTTGTGCCAACTAAAATATACAGCTTGTTTTAGGAGAGTCTGGTGTAACATTAGGAATTAAGGATTACATTGTATATAGTAAATCAGCAGGAGACAGCAAGGATTTGGAGCAGGCAGTGATTTGGGCATCTCATGATCCATGAGAGGTCTTGATTACAGGTGTCAGACCTCACTAAGAACATGTTACGGAACAGAATAATTCAGGTAAACAGCCATTTTGGATTAGCAGGGTCCGCAAACAGATGATGGCAGTCAACAGACTTGTTTGTGCACTCACCTGATGAAGTATCAAGTAATTTAATTGTTGCTTCCTTTCTTCAAACATCATAGTTCTCACGTTTCTCGCTAGTTTGCAGTTTACATTCGATCCAGTTTTACCTCAGCTCCCGTCTTTATCTTATTTGCTTTTATGTGACTGGATTTGTTGTTTGCCACAGTTTTTCCTGCCATTGTGCTGTATGTGTTTATTTTCCCTCTGAGTGTACAGTTTCCCCAAATTCTTCATGTTCTGCCCCACTGGAGTTATGTTTATCTAGCTATTGCAATGAAGGCTTTAGCGCATCCTTTGTGCTTACCGGTAAGTACATCAGGGACGAAAGAAGCTCCGCTCCTGTGTCACGTTCTTCTCTGAGCCCTGCGAGGCCTGTTTGTTTTTATATCTGTCCTACAACAATACCCAAGTCGCACCACACACACACCATCTCACACACACTGTGCACAGAGCTAGCTGAGAAAACAAGCAACTGCTTTAACGTAGACTCGAACAGGAGCCGCGCTCTATAGGAAAACCTGTTCTCACGTCCCAGTCTCCTGGCTGACTCATTACTGTCCCATTATATACAACAAAACATGAAAGTCTCTTAAAACAACACTTGACAGTTTTTGGCTCCATCACAGAAGGCTGCATTGTTAATATAAAAATTCTGCTCTTTGGAAAACAAAAGAAAAACGCAGCTTTGATGTTTGGAATAATAAATACTGACATCAGTCCCCGAGGCAGCAGAGAAGAAAGCGCCTTTAATTTAAACTTGTTTTCTCACCGGTCTGAAAAAAAAGAAAAGAAGGGGAAGAATTTTTATTTCTACCGTTCAGAACTTGAACATGCACGCACTTATTTTTTCACCTGGTGTTTTCTCTGGTGTCGCCTCCTTTTCCTCCTAGAGAGACTTAATGAAATGTGTTGAGGCAACAGGTACTTATGCTAACCTTGATATTACTGCACTCAAGCTTCATGTTTGTAGGTCAAATCAGAAACCGTTGTTTAACACGTAACGTGTAAACAGAATCCAGCCAGAGCACAATGTAAAAGTGAACTTTTAGAATAATAAGCTGTGTTGATTTATAAATCAAAATAGAGCATTAATGTCACAACATAAACGCAAAAATATACTTTTTTTTTTTGTTGCTAAATTTAAACATTTTAATTAAAGAAAGCTTGATATGAAAAGGTCTTTATTTACAGTGGTGGTGAAAAATATCCTGACTGTTGAAACATTGGTTTGATTTATTTTAATATCTGCCTGGCTCTTGTTGTTTTTGAGCCCAAGCAGTGCGTTGTTGGGGGTCACCACACCACATCTTCACCGTGTCGTTCTGTGACATTGCAGATCTTGGATGAGATTGCGGAGCACGGGATCAAAATTTATCAGCTACCCGATGCTGACTCTGATGAAGATGAGGAGTTCAAGGAGCAGACCAGAGTCCTGAAGGTGAGAGGACGACAAGCGCCTGGCGTCTACATCAGACACGTCTGCTCCTCCTCATTCATCCTTGTTTCTCTCCTCTTTGTTTGTTTTTCTTTTTTCCTTCATCCATTCTTCTTAATTTTTTGTGCATCCACTGATTTTTTAACTACCTTTGCCAGGCGAGCATTCCCTTCGCTGTGATTGGCTCCAACCAGCTGATTGAAGTTAAAGGGAAGAAGATCCGAGGTCGTCTTTACCCATGGGGAGTAGTGGAGGTGGAAAATCCAGAGCACAATGACTTTCTGAAATTGCGCACCATGCTTGTGTGAGTCTCCTTGGTAATTAAACCGCTTAACTAATAGGATTTTAGACAAGGAAGGTCTGAATGTTATGACAGAACCTGTGAATCTTATTAGTTGTAAGTCTCTCAATTAAATGTGTAAAGCAGAACTGTAGTGCCCCCTAGCGCTCAAGAAACTAACTGCATGTCTGGTTGTTCAAGGACCCACATGCAAGACCTCCAAGAAGTAACTCAGGATCTGCATTATGAGAACTTCCGATCTGAGAGACTGAAGAAGGCGGGCAGGTGAGATACTGCTTCAATCAATCAATTAATATCCATCTAATCTAATCGATCTAAAGATGTGTATTTATATATTTAATTTTTGTTTACCTTGCAGAGCTGTGGATGAGGATGTGGTGGACAAAGACCAGATTCTTCTACAAAAAGAGTTGGAGGTAAGAAGAAAACAGGAAAGTTGTGTGTGTGTGTGTGTGTGTGGGGGGGGGGGGGCATTTTAGAAGAAAATGTGTCACGAATGTTTTTTTTCTAAGTGGATAGATTTACACAAAACCTTTACAGTCTCCCTCGACATCTTTGCTGCCATTTTTCTTACAGGCCCCCGTGTGAATCCAAGTCTTCCGTGTTCCTGTAGTTATAAAATCAGGGCTGTGATGTTTCTTTATGCATTGTTCACCTTACAGGCCATGAAGCCTGCAAGTCATCAGACTCTAGGCTGTTTTCTGGTTGCTCGTGATTGGTCCGTTTGTGCTATTGCAGCAGGTTGGGCTCGGTCGGGACCATTTGTAAATGTTGTGCCCTGACAGGAAATGCCATCACTTCCTGTCTGGATGTCCTGGCGTTGTTTTATGGTGAGAATAACCACAGAGAGCAGCGAGCACGAGGGACTGCACTTAATTTTGTTTACATGTTGTTGGAGTCATGGAGGGAAGAAATGCTGCAACAGTCAAGTTTTAAACTCTAGACTTTTTGTGGGGGAAAAATGTTAAAATGAACTGATATGTGATTTAAGTAAAGTTTCCAGGAAAGCGCTGTGTGTTTTGGTAGTAATGAAGAAAAAATTAAGGATGGTCAATCTTTTGAGTGGGTTTTTGGGATAAAGTATTGCAAATTGTTAAATTAGGGTTGTTGATCTGCAAGAAGAATATAACTTTTATGACAAAGATGAAAATAAATTCATGTTGATGAAAAATTAAGGACATTGTAGTTTTAGAGTTAGGAGCTGATGTTGCATCATCAGAAGTTACATTGTCTAAAATTTTGTTGTATTTGTGTTTTTTAAAGACACACGCAAAAGTGAAATAAAATAATTATACCAAGGAAAGACTTTATGACACAAGACAGAAAAACTTTCCAGTGTTTTTATTTCATCTTTGTAGGGTCACACTGTGAGGCCGAAAGCCCCGAGTCAGGCCGGATAAAAGACAAATTCTCTTAAAAGACAGCAATAAAGAATAAAGGTGCTGCTCAGACAACAAAGCAACAGATATCCAAAGTTATAAATCAAACTCAAGATGATGAATAGGAGGTAATTTAACAAAATGACACGTCCGAGAACAAAGGCAAACAGGCAGAGTAGACGCAGAGGAGCTGATAAATGAAACGCAGGTGAGTGGCAACAAAGCCCAGGTGTGACGGGAAGACAACCTAACAAACACAAGCCACAGGATCTTTACAGTAAAACAGAGAATAACGCCAATCCAACTTAAAACAGGTGGTTCTGGAAACAAATCTAGATAAAATTCAGCCCAGGCTGAAGAACAAGAACTATTAAAACTACATAAAAGCAAAGAAAGCTCAACTAAAGGTCGTGACTCTAAGGCTGGAAAATAAGTCATTTGTAATACACCCCCCCCAATTCACGCATTTTATTCCAAATATTGTTTTACAAAAACATTCATAACATCAGAACTTTCAGCTTTTTGGTTTACTGGTTTAACGTTTTAAGAGTAAATGAAAAAATGTGTGAAACGTAAAAAAACGGAAGTAAATTACATCAACAGTCACAAGATGGCACCAGACGACAACGAAACTCCTGAAAGTTTTGGCATCTGCTTAAAATGGATCAGTCAGAAGAATTGTTAATGTTCATTCAGTTTCATATGAACATTTACTTTGGAAACATCTTTCCATAACTTGGTGTTTAACAAAAAGACTTAATTTTTAACCCCCGTTTTTCTCTTTGTAGCTGAGACGCATGCAGGAGATGATCGCGCAGATGCAGGCGCAGATGAAGATGAAATCTGACGAGTGAGACGCACAAAGACACACCTGGTCGTCAGACCCCCTCCTCCAGTCGCACCAGGAGCCCAAGATCACGTCGTCTTTATCTGCACATCACTTCTTTCTGTCCATCCATCATCTGTCTGAAGCTGCTCTTTGTTTCTCTTCATCATGGAAAACAGGAAACGGGACAAATAGTTTCTGGTGTTCAAATTCATCCGTCATTTCGTCGTAACATCTTGTGTTACGGTCCACCAAACTGCATTTGACAACGGTACCCTGAGGTTTTCTCATCGCAGTCATGTTTACTAAAATATTTGTCCAGGTCCACGTTTCAGGAAGCACCATTTTTCACTCGTTGGCTATGGAGTCTGACGGTTTAAAGTTTGGTTTTGCTTCAAGGTTAAATAATGTTTTTGTCAGTTTACAATCATTCAGCAGCCTTTTGCCTTCAGCCCTCGAGTGTCCGTAAAGGTCTGTGAGGGGAGAATTTTGTTCTGAGATCTGCTGAACTTTAGTTTTATCTCGTCATTTTAATCCATGTGCTAAAAATAAACTATGATTTGAGGATGTTTGTGTTTAATGTTAGATCCGAATGCACACTGAAACTAATCAGAATATTCAGATCTGTGCAATCATTGTTTGCATTTGTCATTTAATGTGTAAAATTGTTTGTACACTACATGTGCGGTTTTCCAACATACTGTTGTGCTTTTCCATTTAAATGTGTCATTATTTAATACATTTAAACTCCCTCCAGCTTAAGGAGCAGATCAAAAAAGCACATTTCCTTTCTGTTGTAACTAATGTGCCTTTGGCATCATTTTATTTATCCATATTTTTCCTCAAACATTTCTTAACCACGACCGTCTAATGAGTTGTATTTTAGGTGTCAACGTACTTTTTTTATTTTTCTGAATTAAAATGTATCAAATAAAATGGGGTTTTGTTTTCTAGAACTGTTTTCAGTAGAGTTCTGTTTGGTTTTCTGCGCTTTCTAATTGCGTCAATGCTGAATATCGTTCTTGTGTTTTATTTTTCAATGGGTTTTATCTTCAATCCACCTACTTTTGCACACTATGCCATTTTACTCACCAATTCATCAAAAATGTTGGGCTCCATCTTGAGATGAGAGCTATTGGCTTGGTTTTTGTAACTTTGATGCTTTTTAAAATATTCACCTACATTTGCAAAATATTTTTCCAAAGAAATGCATTAAAATCTCACTTCTTTCTCAAACATTCTCTTAAGCTTTCATTGTCAAACTTCACTGTTGTACTGCTTTGAGCTTTTATTGGACTTGATATTACAGCTTTTAGCTGGCCTTTTGCTAACATTTTGCTGCTTTAGCTAATCTTTTGCTACATTTACCTTTTTAGTTAGTGTTTTGCCCAGTTTAGTTTCTAGCTACCATTTTGCTGCTTTTGGATTTTAGCTTATGTTTGGCAATTTTTAGCTAGCCTTTTGCTACATGTAGCTTTTAGTTAGCCTTTTGCTGCAGTTTGCTTTTCGTAGACCCTTTACTACACCTAACTAAACTAGTTTTTTACTACTTTTACCTTGTTTTGCTGTTTACTGTCTACCAGTTTGCTACAGTTAGCATTTAGCTACTGGCACCATTTACTTTATTGCTACCAGTTAGCTGCAGTTAGATTTTAGCTTATGCTTTTGCTAAATGTAGCTTGTAGCTAGCCTTTTGCATCAGATGGCTTTTAGTAAACTTTGCTACACCTGGCATTTAACTAGCCTTTTGCTACTTTTACCTGTTTAGTTAGTGTTTTGCTCTTTACTTTCTGCTAGCTGTTTTTGGATTTTAGCTTATGTTTTAGCTTTTAAGTAGCCTTTTGCTGCAGTTTGCTTTTAGTAAACACTTTACTACGCCTAGCTTTTAACTAACTTTTACCTTATGAGTTAGTGTTTTGCTCTGTTAATGCTTTTGGATTTTAGCTTATGTTTAGCATTTTTTTAGCTTTTAGCTAGCCTTTTGCTACAGTTAGCATTTAGCTACTGGTACCTTTTACTTTATTGCTACCAGTTAGCTGCTTTTAAATTTTAGCTTGTGTTTTGCCATTTAACTGTTTAGCATCTTTTACCTTTTAGCTACAATTTTGCTCTTTTTAGCCCTAAGCTACCAATTTGCTACTTTTGGATTTTGTTAATTTGAGCTTTTAGTTTCTAGCTAGCAGTTTACTGATGCGAGTTTGGTTCCTGGAGGACCTCCTGCTTGTTGTAAGCTGCAGCGTGGCTGTGGTGATGATGATGATGATGAGGAGGAGGAGTTTTCTCCTGTCAGCTCCCCCCACCTCCCCCTGCTGTCTGTCCCGGGTTTGGAGGCGAGGCTGAGGAATCGGAGGAGGAAACATGACGAGTAACATCAGGTACAAAAGCCGGATTCCGGTGAAAACAGGTGAGATTTTCTGCTTCCTGATCGTTTCTGAGCTGCAGCTGATTTCTGACCGTCGATGCTTCCTGTTTGTGTCGCTGCTTCATGCTGCACCTGCTGCCTCCTCCATCCTGCGATGGCCATCAGAGGACAGCATGGAGGTAGGAAACTGATTTAATGTGTTCCCATCCTAATCGAATGAATGACCAAGACCCCACCTTTTAGTTGCAGGAGCGTCGGTAATATTTAAACCCCCCCATCTAAGCGGATTTATTCATAATGTTTGCGCCTTTCGCCATTTTTTCTTAAAGAAATGCGCACGATGTGCAGAGGACAGCTCTGTCTGCGCAGCCTGATCCTCATGACGTTTCATTTTTAGAATGTGGAGCAGCTCTGCAGCCAACATGGTACCCATAACGCAGCATCCTCCTCCTCCATCAGCCTTGCATCAACAGATCCTGACCATTGTTCATCTGAGAAACAGCTGCAGGGGAGGTCGGCTCTCTGTGACCCTTCACCTCCTCCACCTCCTCCTCTGTGCATTTAACATGTGATAGCAGAGCAAGAGTATTTGCACGTGCTGTGGTTTTTATAATCCAGTAAGCCAGATAAATAATTAATACCATTAGCAAAACGGCTGATGAACAAAAGATAAAATCATCAAATGTTTTTCCTTCTGCTTTAGCAAGATTCTCAGCAAATTATTATATTTACACGCAGAGAAATGTTAAATTATTTCACTGACTCTGTTCTACAACATAGTGTTCTTTGAAGGAATGCTTATCACCCATCGCCTCTAAATTTTAGACCATGATCATCTTATTATGGGATAAGATGATGCCAGTAACTCTCAGCTACAATATCAAAGTTTATTTCAGCTGCTGGAGAAGGACAGAACCGTCACGAATGCTGTCTACATTGAAGTTTATCAAATAATTAAATGGAATCAAACTATTAAACGTTCAAAATGTTAATCGAATTTGCGCAGAGCATCAACTCTAAAGGCAGAATATCTGTCAAAATACACAATCTTTCTGTTTGTCATTTGAAATTTTCACAAATCAACTTGCCCTGCGTGTACAAAGACTCATCAACACATTTGTGAGGATTTTTTTAATACAAGTGTTTTTTAAAACCCGTGAGTGTTGCCGTCAGCTGCAACTCCCACCTGCTCTGCTGCAGCTCGTCCTGAGCACGCTGAGTAAAAATATCTCTTTTTCTAAACGGTTCATGTCGAGGAGGAGGAGGATGAGGAGGAGGATGAGGAGGAGGAGGAGGAAGAGTAACTGGAAAACTCATAAATCTGATTTAAGATCAGAAGCTTCATGAATCCTGAACGATGGTTGATCCTAAATCAGTGTTTTCTAACTTTGTTCCACATCTTCCTCAAACTTAAATTTAAAACCAAAACACATTTAAAAAAATCAGTTTTTATAAAAGGAACACCTGCCCACATGTGCTGATTATTCCACATGTGGGCAGATATCAGCTGAACATTCCTCCATCAGAGATTAGAAATGCAAAGAAAAAAAATAGAGAAAATACATTTTATACCAAACTACTTCATGAAAGTTGAGTACTTAATGTCCGCTAAAATGATGAAGCTGAAACTGAGTTGAAGTTAAAAGAACCAGAACACTAGCAAAAGTTTGGCTAGAAGCTAAAAGTATCAAAAGGGCTAAAAGTAGCACAAATCTAGTTCACTAAAAGTATTAAAAGACTAGCTAAAAGTGGCAAAACGCTGATGAAAAACTAAAAGTAGGCTACCACAACCACTAGAAGCTAAAAGTAGCCAAAGGCTGCTTAAAATTTAAAAACAGCCAAAGGCTGGTTTGAAGCTAAAGTGGTGGAAAGATGTCTAAAAAGGCAAAAGGTTACCTCAAAGTTAAACGTAACAAATGACTATGCTGGATGCTAAAAGGCTAGTTAAAAGTGACAAAACGCTGGCGAAAAGCTAAAAGTACCACAACTCTAGCTTGAAGCTAACAGTAGCCAAAGGCTGCTTAAAAGTTAAAAATAACCAAAGGCTGGTTTGAAGCTAAAGTGGTGGAAAGTTGGCTAAAAAGGCGAAAGGTTACCTCAAAGCTAAATGTAAGAAGCTTGATGCTAAAAGTAGCATTAGAAACCTCTAATAGAGTTATTTTCTGACATCCAAATTGAAATGATTTTAAAAACAGTTTTTAATTCACAAAGACGTCACTTTGGTTTTTTTTTTTTGTTTGTTTGTTTTGTTTTGGGGTCATTTTCACACATTCTCTGCTTTCCTGAAGTTTAAAGACGTGTTTGGAGGAGCTGCAAAGATTAATTTAGAACTCGGCGTGGCGCTTCATCACGCAGGAAATCTGATCAATCTATGAGTGCCGTTCTATGGGAGGACAGCCGGTGATGATCCTTTGGAGCCTTGATATAAAAAAAAAACAACTGTTTTTTTATTTTTTTTCTACAGACTCTGTAGATATATTTATTAGTATCAACACAAAGACTTTAATCATTATAGACAGGTTGGGAGCTTTAAAAGAGGCTTAACATTTAAAAAGAGCTGCAGTTTGAAGTTTGTATTTCCTGAAGTGTTGTTGAATTGTCCAACACCTCCTGCCTGCGGGGATCAGGTCGCAGACTTCTCTCTGGACCATAACGTTGATTCAGATCCACCTGGATCTGTCAGATCTGTTCTCCAAGTCTTTCTTCTCCCCCTCTCCTTTCTCTCGATGCCACAGATGGGACCCCACGAGGACCAGCTGCAGAGCAGGGACAGGCGTATCATTGGGGGTTGGGGGGGTCTATTGAACGGGATTCAAACCACCCGGGGTTCTTGTTGTGAGAAGCTAACATGAAAAGTCTTCAGTTTGTTGTGTGATCAACGTTCATGACATGAAAACATTATCTTCTTTAAAACGTTTGCATTAAAGTTCGTTTCTGTTCAAACAATTCACTCAAATTCACTAAATGCTGACTGAATGCTAAAACTTGCTAAATAAGCTTAAACTGAGCTGGTAAAAGTTGTTAACCTAAACTAACATTTAGCTTAATGCTAAAGGAAGCATAGCTAAAAGTAGCAAAATGATGGCTAAATGCTAAAAGAAGCAAAAGACTGGCTAAAATTAAAGAGATAGCTAAAACCTCAAAGTAGTACAGGGCTAGGTAAATGTAGCAAAATGCTAGGTTAACTAAAAAAATAACAGTAGCAAAAGGATAGCTAAATGTAGCTGAAAGATAGCTTAATGCTAAAGGAAGCATAGCTAAAAGTAGCAAAATGATGGCTAAATGCTAAAAGAAGCAAAAGACTGGCTAAAATTAAAAAGATAGCTAAAACCTCAAAGTAGCACAGGGCTAAGTAAATGTAGCAAAATGCTAGGTTAACTAAAAAAATAACAGTAGCAAAAGGATAGCTAAAGATAAAAATTGCAGAACATTTGCAAAAAGGTCAAAGTTGCAAAAGGATAGCAGAAACTGAAAAGTCTCAGAACAGCAGCTAAAGGCTAAAAGTAGCAAAATGCCTTTAAAGGCCAGAAGCAGCAATAATGTAGCTAAAGGTTAAAAGTAGCAGAATGCTAACTAAAAACTAAGCAGATAAATTGCTAAAGCCTGAAAGGGCCAGACTGGTAGTTAAAGGCTAAAAGTGGCAAAAGGCTATAGCTACAAACTAAAAAGTTTAATAATAAAACAAAACTAGAGAAAGTTTTCTGCAGCAAATTTCAAACAAATGTTTTTGAAGACTTTAAATGAATCTACATGTAAAATATTTGTAAATAAAGTTAAATATAAAATTAATAAAATAAAAATAAATTCATAGCAGAAATGTTTTTTCTAAACATTTTATTATATGTTGAGTAAAATACCACCACAAATGCAGATTTTTTTTTCTTTAAAGAACAGATTTTATGTAAAGTTTAGACAAAAAAATAAAATAAAAACTTGGTTTGCAGCTTTAATATATTAATAAAATTGTGTTGGTTCAAAATTGGAAGATAAGCAGCTCAGCAGATTCCTGAGTGTTTAATGGATTATTATAATTTTTGTGCAGATTTAGTAGTGGGATTTAAATGTCTTATTAGTGGGTCGGCTGGGACAGAACCAGCCCCCTGATTCCAGCCTTTATATCACTCGTTGCAGATTACGTTCAGACTTTTGATGAATTATGACCTGCAGTGGGTTTGTGTCTCCGACCTGAAAGACATCACGTCCTTTTCTTGTGTTTTTAGTTTTAGCAACGCCGCCGCGGCTCTCAGCAGCTCGCTGTTTGAAAAGTCTTTTAGGAAACGATCGAAGGCTGACAGAGTCTGAGAAAACGTTTCTTTTTTAGTCAACCTGAATTTATCTGGGATTATAAATTATGTAGAAACTGGGATCAGAAGTTGAAACAATCATCTGCTGAAACCATTAAGAATAAGGATTATTTTGTAACTCTTCTTAGAGAAACAAAGTTGCATACTCTATTTATCTGAAAGTTATGAGCTGTTAAATCTTGCTTGTTTATTGGTTTGGTGTTATTTCATGTTTTTGTTTAGTTTGTATAATTAGTTTTAATGAATAATCTTGTTAGAGCCAGCTGTTTTTAACACCTCCTCCACCACCTCCACTTTACATATGTATTTGTATCTTTTGTAACTTTTGACAGTTGTCTCTGGATGTACGATGTTAAGACGGTTTGTTTTGTGACTGAACATCAAACTTCTCGACTTTAGAAACTGCAGTCAGCTGTTTTAAGGATAAAAACTAAATGTTCTGCTCGACCTGCATCTGTTCAGATTCCACTTTCAGACTTGGAGCAACATTTGCTTTTACATTTTATGTAGAATGTAATGGTTAGTTTGAATGAGCCGATTAACAAAAAGGAAATCTCAATAACTTAAAAGAATCTGTAGTTTCAACTTCTTGTTTTTTTATTCATTATTTTTTTAAAGACAGAATAAAAAGCTTTGAGGGAAAGTGTTTACATTTTCCAAAAAAACTTCTGAAAGCTGTTTTTAAATAAAATATATACAAAAAAAATCAAAATGTAAAAATGTAGCTTACGCTGACTTTGATTTCATTCTATTAGAATAACTTCAAAATTTTTTTAATTATCAAAACAAACTCACCAAAAAAAAAGACACCGGTGTTTGCCCCATCAATTATTTAAAAAATAATGTTCAATGGAATTGATTTTAGGTTGATTTTT